GTCGACTCCAGTGGTGAGCATAGTGAGCCAGAACTTTGTGAGAATGCTAATAATTATACAGATATGTTATGGCCAATCAATTGGAGGTGCTGTGTCTATCTCTTTGGCATCAAGGAACCCAGAGTCCGTAAGTCGATCGATCTACTCTGTCGAATAATTCTCAAGTCGTTAAAGATACAAGGTTTGATCCTCGAGAACACTTTCCTTTCTATAGTAAGTCTTTCTCTATTTCTTGATCGAAAATTACTCACAAAGGTTGACATTAGCCTCGTTTGATACCATCTGCGGTCCCGTTACTCTCGCCATTCGCTTGGTTATGTCACCAAAAATGGGATTCTGCAACAGCAGTCACAAAGATTCCCAGAACGACCCCAATGTTGTTCCTGGGTGGGAAACAGGATGAAATCGTCCCACACGAACACATGCAAATGCTCTGGCAAATCACAACTGAAAAGTGCAACCCGGACGGCACAGACAAAAAGGCCACCAAGTCTATAGAGGCTGCTTCTACCAGTACGGGTGGATGGTTCGCGCAAGCACTAGGATTCGGGAGCACGTCCAGTGTACCACCAGCTACCACTGACAAGCCGCAAAAGCCTGAAGAAGAAGACCATGTAGATGAAGAGGACCCAGATCTTAAGGAACATTCGAGTTACGAAATCATAGGTGACAAGGAAGTCTTGGTATCCAAGAGGACCAGATATCGAACATGGAAGGAATTTGAGGATGGCAAACACAGTAAGCATTCTTAATATACAAGCAAGTGTCCTGTGATCTGATTATCAATAGATGATACTTGCATACAACCAGGGTACTGGGCTACCGTATGGGACTTTGTCGACTCTATCGTCCCGATCCCTGCTGAATGATGGGTTTCGACCATTCTTCTCATCTCATTTACTCTGCTACTATTTAGTCGTCATAGGTTCTTGAACTTGTAATGTAAATAGATCTCCACTCCTCGAGACTTAATGCGGAACTAGTTTAGGTTATAGAAAGAGACATCTCCATTCAATAAAGCGCGCTACATCATCAATAAATCTAAACAACAACGCACACAACACAGGACAGCTGATAGGACAACGCATCCCCGTACAATGGAGAGGGGCGAGGGGAAAGAAGAGGACAAGAGAAACCAAGTCTCGCTACAGGGATAAGAGATATAATGTGAATGTGATAACAATCAACAGAAACAACTCCAAACCAATAACAGAGATACGGCCCTCTTGCTCCTCAAGTGCAAGAATGATTTTTTTGGGGGCTTTTGTCTATTTTCGAATATTCGCGTCTGCTGGTGATGCTGGCAATGCTGGGCAAATGTTGACGACCTTGAGATGGAGCACGGCGAACGAGAATGAAAGATCACATGCAGAGGACATGAGAGGGCATAAGTAGGTCATAATGCGTCATGAGTGCCATGCGGGCGGAATGCTTTGCGGATGCAAAATGCTGGATATGAATGCGCATTGCGCGAATGCATCAATGATGAAAAGGTAGTGAATGTGAATATTCGGGTGGGGGAGGTGGGTGGATGGAGTTGGTGAGGTGGGGTTGTGGCGCCCATCAAGTGGGTTGACCAAACCGAGCGCATAAAGGATCGATGATGACGACTCGCAGCCACCAACAATCTGGTTTGACGAATGAAACATCTTGATGAATCTTGATAAGCCTTTTCGTCAGATCGATGGAGGAAAAAGACAGGTTGGTTGTGGGTGGCGAAGTAGCCAAATATGGCAAGGGTCGCACGTGCACATCAAAGTCGAGGATGATCCTCGACTGAAAGGGGGGTGTTGCAACGATGATTTTTGCTGACTTGAGAGGTTGCCTAGTCCGCATGCCCCGATTGATGACGATGACAATGTAGATTTCGGACCCATGTGTCGGATTTGGAGGGTGAGGTAAGAGGAAAGCATAGGAAGGACCAAAAAAACAGGCTATCAACAATCGACACCCCAAGTATCAATGAAGCCTGTTTGGGCGAAGAAACAAGATGGGAAAAGATTAGAAAGTGGGAAACGGATTAGTGGTTTGGGGAGGACGAGATAGGATACTTTGTATGGTGGGGTGTCAAAAAGGGTGAAAAATGAACAAGAAAAGCCAAATTGTCAGGGTATCGGAAACTCTTGCTGGATAGGGACGAAACTTGGAAGGGGGAGTTGGATGGGAGGGGACTAAATTGTATAGCTAAAGGAGATTTTTCCAGACCAGCGCGCATCTTTAAGTAATAATTATTGCGACGACGTTTCTATGATTGAGGCCGAGTCGAGAGGTTCGGGAAGGAGGTGGAAAGGGATTTGGCACAGGGATGGAGGAGGGACGAGAGAGGAGAACGAAATGACACAAAACAGAACGTGCAAAAAGCTGAATAGGATAGGCGGTACAGTACAGGGCCACCACGATGATTCGACGGGACGGAGGAATTTAACCGTACACCGAGCACAGTGCGTAGTGAGCAGATGCCGTGTGGGCGACGGCCGACCGATTGATCACTTTGATAATACACGCCGGCAAAGGAAAAAGTCATACATCCTGTATGACCTTGAAATATGCTCTTTTGAAATTCAGAAAGAAGTAGACAACATTGCTGGGGAAGGAGCTAGTCCTTCCAATTATCGACGAACTGTACTTGGTGTAGGGGTACCGGGGGCTCGCAGGGAGTGATGGCGTGCGTGGAAGTGTGAAGGGTTGTAGGTGTTTTCCGAGGAGGTGTCCTCTGTATCATCGATCATTGGCAACCAAACCTTGGGGTAGGCTTGCGGCTTTTGGGTTTGAATGGGCCGTGGCCTGGTCTGGGTGCGAATGGGGGGTGGCGTACCGTTGGGTGGCAAAGGTGCGGTCATGGACCTCGGGACAGCAGGCTGAGCCGAGGTACGGGCCATCAAGGTCTCCAGACCGCTCTTTGGCACAGGACGCGTGGCGTACGGAATGGGCGTAGGCGAAGGCGACGTATGGCGACTGGCCTGGGGTGTAAAGAACTCTCGCTGAGGTTGAGGCTGAGGTGAAGAGCTGGCGCTCGAGGCGGCCGAGCTGCTTCGAGATGAAGTAGCGCTGGCTATGCTTGGCAATGTCGTCGGCGCATAAGGATTAACGCGCGTAGGCGATGTGGTCACAGACCGGGGCGGAACGAGACGTGCAGAAGGAGTTGTCTCAGGCGATGTAGTATATCGAAGGGGCGGCGAAGGGGTCTGAGGAGAAGTAGGCGATGTGGGCTGCGAAGAAGCCGGCCCTGGGAATGGCGAAGAATGTACTCGAGCAGCGGATGCGGGAACGAGTCTGCGCAAGCGTTCGACTTCTGCGTGCAGTTGAGCGCACTCGTGCGATTTCTCGCTATACTGTTGCTTTTGGCGGCGGGTCTCAGCTTCAAGGACGGTTTGCTGAGTTTCTAAAGCCTTGATCTTGTCGAGCAATCCATCTTCGACAATCTTGGAGGTTTTGCTGGCTTCAGTGTAGGCGAGCGAGTTGAGCAAAATGGCCCTGAGTAGAGCGGCAGAGAGTCGGAGGGCGGGGAACTGCCGTGAGAAAAGGCCAAGTCAGTACGCTGTGAAAATGCAGATGACAAATCGAAAAAGGGAAAATAGATCGACACCAATTCCGGCGGTTGCTGGAGTCCTAATCCCCCGTAACCACACTATAACCAAAGCGAGAGACTTTTGCAGCAACTGCTGATAGTCGCGGCGATACCGCACAAATCGCTCACAACACAAAGGGAAGTGGCTCTAGAGGGAGAGGCTGACGTACCTTTCCATTAGGTTTGTACTTGGGCTCAGTGAGTAGCCAGTTCTGAATGTCGTCACGGAGCTCTGACACCTCCTCAAACGTGCATTTGGTTGACGCAGCCTTCTGGACGCGTAGCTCCAATGCTCTTGCCTCCTCGCGAATGCGTGGCTCCTGGTTCCAGAGAGAGGAGCGCGCGCGGTCACTTAGGTCAGAGTCAGTGTCATCTGAAGGATGGAAGTTGTCGTAGGAGAGTTTTGGGAGCGGATCCGCTGGATCTACTCTGACTAGGCAAATGTTTTCCAGAGTGAATGCCTCTCTGCATAGCGGGCAAGCGGCGCCTTTCGGGTTATTATCGTTGATGCTAACAAGACAGTTTCTGCAAAAGGTATGGCCTGTTCGAGTGCGAAATGTCAGAGTTTACGAGGGAGAAAAGTAGTTAGCAACAATTCCGAGCAAGAGGGCTGGGATGTAAATTTTCACTGACCACATGGAATTAGGTACGGGAGACAGACGACACCGTACTGGTCGCCGCAGACGTCGCAAACGGACGTCGGATCAATGGTGAGCATGTTGTAGAGCGCACCAGAGGGGAAGGAAAGGTGGGAGAGGACGTAGAGGTGGAGGGGAAAGTATTAAGGACTAAATGGGCCAAACACCGGCAAACACCCTTTGCCCAAGTTCCCAGCCTCACGTCAGCATGACTAGTCCCTCAACTCACCGATCACTGGCCGCTGCGACCCGTTATTTCGACAAGAAACCGTCTGTGCGACAGAGATGACTCGAATAAATCTCTAAATTTCTGTCTATTTCTCCGCTACCATCTCCAGCAAGTCTCGCATTTTTGCGATTTTTGCCTGTCAGACGAGGCCTTACTCCGCCCGGCCTTGAGGACAAATGCGGACGATCTCGGCCGTTCTCCAAACATCCAGTTCATTCCACCTTTTCGTTATGGTGCAAACTTGTCGCACGACTACCTCTATCGATGGCTTGTTCAAACTTGCATACATGCACGCTGCTGCCTACTGGATATCCAGTCTCGTGCTCTGCGCATCTGCACAATCTCCAAACCGCCCTCCAGAACACCGGTCGCTCATTGGTAGACGGTTTCGGATGCTCGGGCCTCAACTAACGCCTCATTTCCATCTGTTTATAATTGCGGAAAGCCAAATCGCAACGTCGGCGAGCCGGTTCGATCATTAGGATGACATCTTTGAACTCAGATCCCGGTTTTTCTATTGCAGGAGCCAGGGAGGTCGCCAATGTGGCAAACGCACCCTCTGTGCGTGTTCATCTCTTCGCCAACTTCTTACAGACGCATAGTCCTTTTTCGTCTCGATCGTGCCCGCTCGATCACTACTGCTGTAATCAGCCTGTGCTCTATCCGTTATCGGGCAGGGAATCTGCGAACTATGGCTCCTGAGGCAAAGGGCTGCTGAAAAAACCTTGTACGACCGCAAACGCCCTCTTCGATCACAGAGGATCGATAGTACTCTATCTCATCCTTCAGACTCCCTCATCGAATCTCCGCGACGCGTCTCTCAATGCGGCTTGTGCGTGCTTTGTGCCGGCGGGAGCTCAGCTGCGACCAAAGGCCCTTCCGCCCCGCACTCGTCCACCAATCGTCGTGCTTTCGACAACACCCATTCATCCGAGTATTGATGTGGGTACGCAAACCATCGACGTCTTCCACGTGTAGCAATCAAGGGCGGTTCGGCTCCATCGTTCTATCAGTGATCAAAAACATCATATGTTATCGTCGAAAACGAGACTCCATCATGATATCGTGGTGTCGTACGTTTAGGGACGGAGGGTTATACCCTAGTGCTTCGCAATGGTCCCCCAACCAAGGCAAGACCGAAAACCCTGTGCCCAGTGCTCCCTCC